TCCTGTTACTACTAGATTTTTGTTTTTCTCCTTTCTTTCTAAAAGATTTCCCCACATTTGTTTTTGTCAAATGTAAAACAATAAACGGAAATGGTATCACAAGGGGAAATTTATGCTCCAAGGCTACAAAAGAGGAAAACATCTTTCTTTTCATCAAAATCAAACTAAAGGCATACCCCTAAATGGCTCATCATGACTAATAATAACTACCTTTAAAACGTTTAAACACAGAAAAAGTGTCATTGTATATTTTAATTTCTCGTGTTGCTTTAAGGTTTGAAGGAAGCCGTATGCTACAGGTTCAGTTTTTAAATTGTTTAATGTTTTTAAAAAAAGCAACAATTGCATTTTATCAGAAAGTTATTAATTGTCTTGAGCATAAGCATTCAAAAAGAAGAAAGGGTTATTTATATTTCATGTACAAGACTAACAGTCCAAATGTATATTTTTATCTGATTTTCTCAATCATTATTAAACTAGTAGAAATCAAATCTACATCACATATGGACTATATTAAAACCATTTCATAAATACAACATTTTCCAAAGCTTCTAATTTTGATTTCTAGTCCTTTTGATACATTTATCTTATTAAAAGCTTAATCACATACATTTGTATAAAATTTGTTTATTTTATTTCATTTAAAAATACTAAATCCAATCCCAGAAATAAATTATATATAAAATCATTCTTGTTTTCTTTATGAACTTTAGCTAAGTGTATATATATTTCCCTACTGTACTAAAGAGGGTAAACGTAGAGCTCCGTATGTATTAAGTGCATGACAAGTCAAACACTACTTACAGTAGAATCACAAGTGATTAAGATTTCTTTACTAGTTCTTGAAACCAATATAGCATCAATTAAGCGCATTAATGGCCCAGTCTGACACATGATAGTATAGATCATCCTACTTCAATCTATTCCTCGTTTATATCGAGATTTACAACAAACTTTCAATCTCTCACAATCCTTCACTATGACTCCGAGGGAGGGAGAATTGTTGCAGAATATAGCACTTTGAGGAGTATTTTTAGCACGAGATGAAGCAGGCCCCTCAAGTTTATATCTATTCATAAGCCCATATATACATCCCTTTGCAATACTTAATTCCTAATTTGTACATGTATATATTCAATTCACATGACATTTTTGTAAACCATATAAGGACATTTTCAGGAAGTGCAAGGTTTTCATAAATCCCTTTTTCCAGCAAATTCTGGTTTTGAGTGAAGACGTGCTTTTGTTTCGTGTATATACTTGGAGCTACCTAACAATGCCAGTATTGATGTTCATTTTCTTCTTTTATCGTAAAGAGGTATTTGTGCGAGAGTATCTTATTGGCTATTAATCTTTCACTTGACACTCAATAATTTCTCATTGGTGCACAAGAGTAAAATAGATGGGTAAAACCTTGTTTGCATAGTATATCTCATATAAAACTTTATCAAATAATAATAATAATACATTATAGAGCGTAGAAACTATCCATTATCCAACATTGAGTATATATTCTACTGCACTACAAGAGTTCCTGATATGCTTAGATTTACAGTTAATTGAAAAGATGTGCTTTCAGTTTTGATTTAAAGATATTCACAGATGGTAATTTCCTGACTTCCTATGGTACCGGTAAGTTATTCCAGAGTTTTGGGGCTGCACAAGCAAATGCTCGATCACCTAGCATTATTTTTGTTTTGATAGATGGGATCTGCAGCAACAAAGTATCTTGGGAACTGCGCAAGTTGTGATTGTATTGATTTTGTTTAAAATTTAACAGTTCTTTGATATAAGTGGGAGCTTGACTAAGAAGTGTTCCAATGCCTCACTACATATATCATATATTGTTTACAATTGTCTTAGCAGGGTATATATTTAACAACCTGAATGGGATTGGCATGACATCACAAATACCCACAATTTTGTACAACATAATTGCATGCATATTATCCTTCTATAAAAACAAATCATGTACCGTATTTGCAGGCGTAAAGGCCGCAGTATTTTTGGAAGAGAAAATATCAAAAAGTCGGGGTGCGGCCTTTACGGCAAAGAGTAAAAAAAAAATTTAAAAAAATTATCTTGCATTGTTGACATGAATACAAAAATAAATTGCTAAACCAACATTTGCCGATAGATCTTGATCTAAGTTTGTGCCAATGCATTGCAAAAGTAAAGGAAGGGACCATTTAACAGACCTGCCGCGAAGCATCCATCTGAAGTCGCCATTTTGTTTTCCATTTCATGCAGTTTCGCATCACACCGTACATTGTGGTAGGGGTATATATTGGACACCAAATCTGCCCGCGATCACTTTTTGAGCAAAACTTCTGGTAAATTATAAGAATATTGATGAATTTGGTATCAGTTTGTAAAAAAAAATAGTGTTTTACAAGAAAATTATGACTATTTTTTTTGTCCGTTGGTTGTTTTTTTTTCCTTTTTTTTTTTTTCCTATTTGAAATGTCAAAGTTGGGGTGCGGCCTATGCGACGGTGCGGCCTTATCGCCGGCAAATACGGTATTCAGAACCAGGATGTTGACTTTGTCCTTCTAGGTCCAAGCAGATGAAATTTCAACCTAAGATTTTGGCTTGCTTCAGTGAAATACACATTGCTCTGGAAATTCTCAATTTTTCAGTTTATTTTATATTGTTGGATTGAACATGAAAAAAAATCACTTAGTGTGGGGTTCAAACTCATTTCACTGGCTCCATTCATGTGATTTAAATGGGGAACAAGGTCAGTCACATGACCTCTTCCAGTCAGCTAAGTGGTCAGGTGACTTACGCTCATGTTCTCTGATTGGATTAGCACCTTTATGTGACTCAAGCTGAGTGAGAAGGACTTCTCCACAATAATCTTTTTGATCCACATGTGGTTTTCTTGCCATTACTCAACAATTAATAGGCGGTCCAGACTATAGGAAATTTAAATGCAATGTATAAAAAAAATGTTGTATAAAGAATCATCATATATAGCAAAAGGAGAATTTAAAAGACTTGATAACAACATTGTATGCAAAAATGTTCTGTCAAGAAAATTTATGAGAGCTGGCCAATCATTGGTGCGCATTCACGATAAGCACTGATCAGTAATATGATTTTGAGGATACCGGTACGATGTTTAGACTAGAAGAGGACCCTGATTCTTTATCAAGTTTTCATTTGACACAATGACATATGGGTTTTGCTTGAAAAAATAACATGATTTCTCATTATTTATTTATTTGGAGTGGACTATTAGGCTATTATTATTATTATTATTATTATATTATCAAGCACAAAGCGATATTCCTACGTCCCTCATGAGTATGGAAACCATTTACAGATTTTGTTCACAGTTTTCTTGATTAACAAAATTCTTTATTATGCATGGTGAGGTGTAGACATCATAATGTAAAGCTTAGGAGAAAGTGCTTTATTATAGAGGGAATTAGACTGAAGGAAGTCATTGTACCTCAGCCCTCTCAAACATGACGCAGTTAGCTATGATAAGGACTATACAACGGTCTTCCCTGGATATGAATCATGTATATCAGATGTTCACAACGTACAACTTTCAGACAACAGGTTATGAACTCATCTCCTTCTAGTGCTCATTCACGTAGATTGTATTGTATGTTTGGAGCGAGAAAGGTGGTAACTTTGTGTTGGAGTATATGAGTTAAAGACCTTCTGGCTCCAAACAGATAGTATGTTCATTTATAATGACACATGAGTTTGAATGAATGCTTTCTTAATTAGCTACACATGTTAGTCTCTTGGGGTTTCTTTTTTTCTTTATCTCTTTGAGTCACATACAGAAGGCCCCCTCCTCATTGACAATGAATCATCTTTTAGTCTGATACTTGCAGGCAAATGATTATTTAGTATATTCTTTGAAACAGGTATGCTGTATATTACCAAAAATTATGAGAGACCAATTATTGCTTTGATTAAATCAAAGAAAGGAGGGTTCTTTTTAAGGTTTATTAAGATTTGGCATGGTAAACAGCCACGTTTTTAAACATTTAAATAAAAGGAAGCTGCTCGCAAAAAAGGAGATTTACTCATCTCTGTGTTATAAATACAGAAGTGTGAAGTGTATCACAAATGTCGTAACCAAAATAAAACTGCAGTATATTTACCCATCATATCTGATATATGAGGTTATATTCATCATTATCAAAGTCTCACCTCGCTTTAGTCAGGTAATTGAAAAGCGCTATATAGGAAACCCAGGTGATGTAATTGGGTACCTGGTAGGAATTAATTCCTTGAAATGCTAGAGCGCCGCAATGGCAGCACAGCTAAAGCCGGGGTAATAATCTCCAAGTTTGGAAGCGCTTAGTGATTCTAATAAGCGCTATATAAAAACTGGGTATTATTATTTATTATTATTATTAAACCAGTATTGATATTATTATCATTATCAATCATCAATAATTAACATCTTAATCAAATCTTAGGGAATATAACAGGTGGAAATAACTCAGAGAAATACAACAATGAGTCTTTGCAGGGGCTACCATATTGATTTCTATTCGATTATATCTGTATGGGTTCAAATCCATTGAATACATCACAATGTTTCCACATCAATAGGTTCAAACACATTTGCAAGGGTTAAAACCTACTCAAAGCTTTGGAAAGCAAAAAAATATTGATTGATTCATTGACTTTAATTGATTAACATCTCAATAATCATAATTCTTGCAGCCGCTTACCATTGTTTTTATCGAAAGACAATTTTTAGCAAACAATAGATGAAAAGTAAGGTAAAAAACCACGTTTATCCACAGAAAAACATGGACACATCTCTTTCCATTATACTTTTTATACAGCAAAACCCCGGACATGAGCTAACCTCAATTATAATGGTGCTATTTGTTAGCTCCAGTTACAAAATAATATGCATGCATATTGTATTGAATAGAAATGAAACACATGATAATTATTTGGTAATAAATTCAAGCTCAAACTTGAGCTCGAACAAGGAATAACTAATGAATGAATGTTACCTGTCAGCTGGACTGCCTTCATCGATTCCAGCTACAAAGATCCCAATATCTCCTTTCCTGGAACCTTTCCCTCCAGCTATCTGGATCCCTAGAGAGCCCTTGTCTTTCACGAGGTGGATCTTCACAACTTCTCGCTTCTGAGAGGAATAGAAATCAAACAATTCATTGCTTTTCAATTCAACTGGTTGTCTCAGCTTTAGACTTCAACTATTAAACAGAAATCCAACCTTGATAGCAAAATACTCTTGAGAAAAGCAAAAAACTCAGAGAAGAAGACTGGTGAAAGTTGAAAATGAAATCTGACAAAAAACTGGAAAGACATGAATTTGTTATAGTTGTAATCACTAAAAATTGAGAAAGTTATGATTTTGTTTAAAATTGAAATCACTAAATATGGGCTTTTCAAATTGGCTGAATCTTTAATGTCTCTGTGATGTAGTGGAGGACAACTTTCCTATTTGTTACAACACACAAATTTACCAACTTTCAATTTTCAAAAATGTATGACTCAGGAGAATCTTTTCTCTTTACAGGACCTACAATAATATACTATTGTTAATATATTTTGAGTAGTGGCCCCAAAGGAGAGGGTCCTTTCTTTACACAACAAACGGGAGAGTTATCCAAGCCTACGTCTCAATCCGTAGACCAAACTGCCAATTTGATATTCACATAGACTTAGTGATCACATATTTTGAAACCCTCACAACTTTCTAAACATTGGTCTGATTTATTTCAAACTTTCCCCAATCTGTTCATCTTATATTTCAGCTTTCATAAAAATGAACTTATCACATGGATAAGATTGCCCTTTAACAACAAAACAACATACACATGGTAAACTTCAACTGCTGAGCATGAATAAACAGTTTTTGTTGTTGCCACAATATACTTCAAGAAATATTTTGACAATTCATGTGATCAAAACCATTCAGAACATTCTGATTACAATTGTGATCACTGATTACAAATCAAATACGCATGCACATATTTTATTGACTACATGCTTAAATTTGACATTAAACTTAAATAAATCAGTTTTACAAATATAACTTTGTACATGAGTGTCAATCTGTCATTAGTGAAATAAATATAATCTATGAATCCAAATAACCTAATGAGAGCAAATACTTGTGCCGCTGGATGCTTTAATAGTTCTTACGCATAAAACAAATGTTTCATGATAAATCAATGACATTGAACAAGAAAATGAAAAGAGAATGAAACTTACATGTAAATCACATAACTTAACAGATTTTCCTGAGCAATATTTGTATGGTCTACGTAACTTATCCATGGTAGAAACTGCAAAGTGCACCACTAACAACCACATTAAACCGTGCTCCTGTGTGATATCATTCCAGTGAAGGGGGATACAGATTGCAATCCATAATCACATACAATGAAATAATCCTTACGACCGATCATATTCCACATCAGGCATAGGAACACTTGTAATCTCTTTCAAGACCCTGATGGTATTGTTAGGTCCATGCTTGAAGTATTGCATACATACACCACAGAGAGTGAACATGTAGCTCTACAGCAGAGGAACAACACCTGCTATACACCATTTAGTCATTAATTTTGTCAGAGAACAAAACTATCAAATGATCATCACGATCACGGTACCCCTGCACTGAATATTGTGGCCAACTTTATGGCAGGCTAACTTATATGTATTTCGACGAAATACACATAATTACATCAATACCCACAAAGCCTTTTTTATGGAGAAAAAAATCACATTACTCAATTAAATCTAGTAAAGCTGAAGAAAGACTACATCAAACAATGACCGTCGGCCTTGAGATCTGTGACTGGCTACACTCCTACATACTCTCACAGATGGCTCTGGATTAGGACTGTCTGCTTTCACACAGGTGTGAGTATCTCTTCATTTCAAAGTGTGAATCTCTAGGAGCATTCACACTACAAGAAAATTCACACAAATTTGTATTTAAAAAAATTGTTCCAAGAACCATCATACACTCAAGATAGCAATGTTTCATAAAGGAACATTTAACAACATTTATGTAAAATTTTGGTGAGGTATGTGCAGTGCTACATCTTGGATATAGTTAAAGGGCAATCCAACCTTTGTAATAACTCATTTGTAAGAAATCAGAAAAATTAGAGAAACAGAATGGTAAAATGAGTCTGACCGACAATAAGAATTTTGCATGTTAGAAATAAAAGATCACTAAATCTATGTGAATCTCAAATTGGCAATTTGATCCGCAGACTGTGATGTCCTAAAGGTATTGCATAACTATACATTGAATTTTGTTGGTCTGAATGGGGGTCTATCACAAGCTCCCAGGCCAGAATCATTGATTGCATCAAGTCAGGGGTGAATTACTCATTTCAAGAGAGTCCAAGTTGTCCCTCTGACAAATCTTTGACATTTTTAGGTCAGGATCTACATTTTATGATATTTCTATTTTCTAGACTCCTGGGAACTGTGTTAGGTCCCCTCTATGTCCTTGGTATAAGCCAGAAACTTATATATTGTATTGTTTGGGAGATCTCCATGCATGCAATGGGGTTCCAAAGGCAAGTGACCCTCTGATATTCATAATGACTAAGAAGCCTGACAGAACACAGGTACTCCTTGAAAATCTGTGTTGGCTGAAAATGAAATGATTTCTAATTAGTTTTGTTAAAACTAATTACAAATCATTTACTTTTCAGTCAAATATTTTCAAAGGGTTCCTTCCTGTGTAATGTCAGGCTTATGTAGTCGATAGGTTTAACAAATATTTCACCAAAACATACATCAGACAGGACTCTTACTCAAGGGGGCACCTACAAACCTTTTTGTTCTTACACTGAGAAACTGTTGGTATATTCTGTTTGGTTAATTATCTCAGAATGTAGAGAATGAACATACTAACAAAACTGATACCATGGTATATTTGCCAAAGCTGACTTTATACACAAACAACCCTACACTGCATGTTAGCCAATAAGCATAAGAAATGATCTAACTTCTGGGTTCCAGACTAGTTTCTAAGTCCAAATTAGAATCTTGAAAGACCCTCGAAACTCTTAAAGCCCCACTGCACTACTTATAGCTACTTATGCCCTCCATTCAGCCAACAATGCCTAAGCGGTAACGTTGATCCCCCATAGTGCCCTTCCTTATGTTAATTGAGAGCTGATTTGATGAGATAACCACCTGCCAGTGACCACGCAGGGAGGTGTAATCCCCCTGGCCGAACTAGTGCAGATAGGCTTTACAACAGGTTCATGCATGAGTAGCAATCTGATCAAGATATGAACCTACTTCTTTGTGTCTATAAGGATGACTGCTGGCCACCTATATCTTGATTGAAGATTTTGCCAGCATAACATCACTTCAAAATAGATAGTGAGCCTGATAATAGTTAGGTTCACAGAAAAGTCCATCAAGTCTAGATCGTGGTTTTAAACTTTGAAGTTGTCTTGTAGTGAGGGACCGAGCAGGCACTCATATCGACTAAACTTTAACTTTACTCAAAGTTATAAACCACAAGTGATCTTTAGGTTAGCGTGATAACTCCGAGAGTCCTCACTCAAAGTTATGTGCAAACACAATATACTTCAAGGTTACATCAGCTTGTATTTTAAATGAATGCTTTCCTCCAGGCTTGTAGCTTGAAACTTTAAATGCTTGTTGTTGAGTCTTGTGTGAACCCTCATCTTTATAAGTGAATCATGGATTAAAACCTTGAGGATTCATAAACTTTAAGTTTTAAATTATGATGGTGCCATAAAAATATTGCCTGTAGGTAAACTAAAACCTGTGTTATTGAATGTTATATTACAGGGCTCATCTTATAAACAGTTGGGATTAATCGCAACTATGTACACAAGAGATTGTGATTGATTTGGATTAATCACTACTCTTTATAAGACAGGGCCCAGGTTACCAAGTCTTTACAGTTTCCAATTAGCATAGAGAGCTTTCTACAAAATAAAATCCATTTATCTACTCTATATGTATACATGGAAATCAAATGCATCATAAATTGCACTTTCCTATCAAATTATTGCTACCGGTAACTACATTTTTCAGTTTTAATATTACATGTATTTCAATATGTTAATGCAATACACATAAGCCACCAGATAATATACCATTCTGCAAATTGAATTTACGGTAGCTAAAAACAACTCTAATTGTACTCACAAACATGCATTCCCTCAGTTGAGTTTATCACACTCTATTTGACTAATGGAAACTCAATCTAATGAAACTAGGCTACTGTCAATATAATGATTGCTTACAAGGGAAAGAAAACTATTTCCCTCTACCTTTACAGACACCATACCCCCTAGAACAGGCAAGTAGATGTGATATATGATAACCATATTGACCCAGATAGGCACCTGTTGATAACCAGTAGACCTTAACACCCATGGATAGTTTGGTCGGCAGGTCTTTACACCGTATGAATCACAGGGGTTCTAGATTAAAATCATACCTGATCCATATCTGATCAGTGCCATTTATGAGGAGCTGATGCAAGTAGGCCTCTTTTTATAAAGATAATTCACAGACAGATACAATCAGTTTACTAAAAAATGCATTCAGTCAATATCGTTAGATTTGGTTTTCCCCTTGCTCTTTTCACATTTGTTCTTCTTCAAAAGCAAAGTCTCTATTGCATTTCCTGTTTTCTTGCTTTGGAGCCTTTAAAAAAATGCTTTCTTCTTCAACCAATGTTTGTGATCGATTTTCAGGATATGAAAGTGAATTGACTTAATACAGATAGATGCACATGATGCTATCAGGATGGCTGGTTTAAAGTTCAATGATATATTATTTGTCAACAGAAATGAAAGTATCTATACCCTGTAGCTACATACTCATCAGATATTAACAATAACCAACATAACTATATCTATATCAAAATCCATTTATTCCTTATGTGGAGTACAGCTCATGTTTTTCACATATACTATAGCTGATCAGACTACACATTTTTAAGAAAGTAATGTGTCACTTGTAATTCAATTTCTTCATTTCATGAAACTTCTGCAACTGTTTAATACTCACAAAATTTGCCAACATTTCATGTATGTAAACTGCTTTGTACAGAAGTGAACAACTATTTAAGAGGACAAGATAGATTAGCAACGGGATGTATTTTTCAACTGTTGCATATTTCATTTTCATGATGAGATAGATTAGTGAAGTAGCCTTTTGACAAAGGGAAGTTTGAATCATTTCTGAAGTGTGGCTTGCATGCAATTATCCATGACAAGACATGAGGCCAGAATAGGAAGAGATTAGAAAATGACTTTTGAGTAACTCTCTCATCAATAGAGTATAATGGTTGACGTTTCTCAGGGTTAGTAATACCATATGATGTAAGGTGTGTGTTTGATAGTTTCTAACAATGAGCCAAACGCAACTCATTCATGTCATGATGCTGTTATCCAAAGTACATGTATGTTGTTGGTATTAACTCATGTAACTCCTTGCACAAATATTTGAAAGACACCTACCCATGCTCAGTATTCAAAGATACCATTAACAGAATATTTTTTATACATTTCCCTTTTGGTTTGTAACCACTCTTTAATGCTTTAACTCTTTAAATCCAATATCAAGATATTTAATGTACGAGGAAGTAAAGCAAGCAACTTTTTTAATTAAACAAAAAAATCAATGCTTATTCTATTAATGTAGCATTTAAGTAAGTTTAAAGGTACAATTTGTAGAAATATTGGGCTATATTGTAGTGAAAAGGGGTATGAATGAATGACAATTCACAAAGAAAATGAACAAGATTAATATTTCTAGAATTACCAAGTAGATCATACAAAACAGTGTACCCAATTAATGTATGCTACATAGACTTATTGATGTGTATTCAAACATGTGCCTCCAAATATCAGATAAACCAGTTGTAATTGATATCTAGTTTTGATTGGTAATTTAATAAGTTTGTATTGCATTTTATGGCCTTGAAACAGGTGTTAAAACCTCCAGTCATGTAATTAAGCCTTCACTTAAATTTGATTTAATAGTCTCATTCATGGTTTTGGTTTCGATTATTACTAATCTATAATTAAATATGTACATTAATATACTAAGATTAAATTCAATTGAAACCTCGCTAGTGTGACAAGAATCAACAATGATGAAAGAAACTGAAATATAGATTAAAAAATAGGGAATATTATTTTCTTAACATGCCAGAACAATGAAAGTTGAGAGAGAAGATTCATCACTACTACACATAGTCAGCATTATGTATTTTTCTGGCATTACCAATATACCATCAATACAGCGTTTAAAATAAGAGGCCTTTCAAATGTTTCAAATAAGTGATTTTGACGCTGTTGATCATTTAAAAGCCAATCTACCTATTTATGAAATAAGAGACCCAGCAAATGAACAAGATAATTAATCTCCATCAAATTTAACCACAAATCTTTCAAGATCCTTTATGATTTAAATTTCACAAGTTGTTAAACATCTTTCTTTGATGATTTCAATCATCATGTGAATAACTGTCACAATATTAGGTACCATTTTGTATCCCCCTACTAAAATTAGGCTAGCCAGGGATGAGCAAAGTATAATGTTAATGATATCATGTTGACATCCATTTCAGGAATGATTTGAAAATGAAGGAAACCCAGCAAATCTTGGTTTAGCATTCTCAAGAGGACACTAGTGCTTAACTTCAAACAGAAGGCCTACCCTAAACAATTATCTTATCCTTGACTCAAACTAAATGCTAAATTTTGTTTGCTTTTGTAAAAACCTACCCTTTTCTTGAGATCAGGCAGCATTTTGGATAGAATGGAGTCACTCCTAGCTACAGTGATAGGGTTGGGTGTCTCGCTGGTTCTTACATGCTTAGTAGCAGGTACCTCCTCCTCTGTATGTTGATCCCTTGTCTCTTTCCTTGGTGGTGGTGGAGCCCTTCTTTTCACTGATCCACTCTTAGATCTCCTAATCTCCCTGCTCCCTTCCTTGACCAGCTGACCACCCCTGGCCCTGGAGCCTAGGTTGGGAAGGGTTGCAGTCGACCCTGCTGAGTTCATCATGGAAGACTTGTTTCTGTTTGAGTCTGCTGGACCCCTCATTGTATCTGCCCGCCCATTAGCAGTATCTGGCATCAACGTGGAAGTACTAGTCGAAGCGGATGATGACGATGATAGGGAAGTCGAAAGAGGGGATGGGGATGCCCCCGATAGAGAGGGGGCCCCAACGTTCTTGGGTTTCCGAGGAGGTGGGGGTGCCCTCCTTTTTGTTTTTCTCAAGACGCTGATGCATAAATTAGATCCTGTCCGAAGGGCACTATCCAGCAGAGCTCTGTGGATAGAAACAAAAATGGACAGATTTTAGTAACAACTTATTAGTAGCAGAGCAACTTATGGTTTTCCTAGTCAAAAAGAAGTCAAAATGAAACTGTAATGACGATGATACAAGGATCAAGTAAAAGGATATAAATTACCAATAGAATACAGCTGAAAATATTTTCTGCTAAAGAGCCAGGAAGTCATATGAGTTAAAGTCCTTCTGCTTCTTAGCATATCTGGTTCTCAGAAGCACATCCAAAATAACATAATATAAGTTCACACAAGTTGAAATACTCCTTGATAACGATAATCACTTTCACAATAGAAACAATCCAGGGGGGGAATGAAGATTAAAAAAAAACTATCCCCTCACTGCATCATGAACACTGATAATCAGACAACACTTCACTAAATCATGTAAAATAATCCAAGATATATCCAGAGTTGGTAATTAGAGAATAACTGAAGTTAAACAATAATTGTTGTCTGTAATCACTCTAACAAAAGAACAGCATTCTCATAATCCACTTCCAAAATATGTGATCTCATTGTATTTTTATCCGTTTGGAAAATACACATCATATTTTAGTATAAGATTTGGAATCTAAACCATAAAAATCGATGATCCACACACCATTACATGTAAAACCCCATGAAAACAAGAAAACAGTTAAACGCACACACTTACATGTCATTCCTAGACCATGTTCAAAACCAACTATGTCATCACTGGATCTGAACAAATGGTTATAAAGTGAAAGTATATCACTCATAAACAGATAAAGTCTTAACCCTTTCACTCTGCAGCTGAGGTTTTCTTGTCAGGGTATAATGTGTAATAGCTCTCTCAATGACTGAATGGCTTAAGAAGGGAGCTTGACTTTGGCCCTGTGCTAGGTAGCTTTTGCTGTTATGTGCATTATAGGCTCCACCAAGGGAAAGACACACTTTCCTCTTGAAAACTTACTCAGGAAACTCTGAGAAATATCTAAACCCTGGAAGGAGAGTTACATAATATTTCTTCTCTACTATAAAATCTAAATTTGAGATTAAATACAATGTGAACAGTTTATCAAGAAAGAGAGAAAGGGATACTTGAGAACCGTTTATCTGCACAGCTAGATTTATTTCACAGTACCAAGTACAATGCATTAATTTGTCTCGTGGCTAGATTTGTTCAGCCTCTTGAAAACTGTTCAAATTGGCAACTTTAGATGGCCTCACTCATGTTTGGACATGGCTTCCACTCAAACTGGACTTCCTGTCTAGGCTTTTGTTTCTCACAGAAGGTCAGTTGGCGCTCTGAAAAATTATTAATAACCTTTTGTCCCTTTTGGGGGGAAGGGAAGTTGCAAAATAAAAAGATTAATATATACAACTTGGAAGTACATATAATTCAGTATTTTGCCTTTTGTATTAAATTTCTTTCTAGCTTTTGCTACACTAAAATTCTACTGGAAGCTGCTTTAAATTAACAGCTAGGCACATGGTAGGCACATACTGAAGCAAATACTGAAGCAACTCAAAGGAATGAACTTGGTTTTGTCCTTGACCTGTAAATTCTTTAAATGCCATGTCACTTTCCCTATTACAGCAATTTCACTTTCAGCATATATTTGATAAAATAAACAACCCCACGCCCATAAAAAAAAATCATTAAAAAAAAATTTCCTAACACATAAACTAAACTAAACATAAATAAACTTTTGAGTGAGGAAATCATTCCTGTCAAAAAAGAACATATGTTCATGTAGTCATCAAAAATATTTCTTTCCTCAAAATCTAATTCATTATTCTGAAACAATGCTATACTGTCTAGGGAGTGGGGTCTCAATCAAATCTAAAGGTGTAATATGTACACTGCCAGACATGCAACCCTGGATCTACTTGTATTATTCATGTTGACGTCATCATTACATGCTACTTATTATTCACAAATAGTTATCAACTATACAGCCACATTCAAGCCAAGAGGTACATATGGGATTAACAATCAGTGACTACTATCTTTTCATTAAAAAGTGCCACAGGTCATCTTGTTAAATAGATGACTCATATATGTACAGGCCTATTTGTCAACTGATGTGTAGATCTTTTCTTTATTTTCTTCTACAGATATGGTGCCAAGAAAAGACGGCTTCTTCAGATTCCTCTTTCACTGTTTTCATCTGCATTGTAATCCTCAATTGTTGCATTGTCTGTAATGAGCTATAAATACTTCTATGACAGAATCCAAATTTTGATCTGAGGAAGTATAAGATTAGAAGCTCTTGAAGACATTTGATTGTCTTTCTCGCACAGATAAAAAATAATCCTCAATGTCTAAGAAGACTGTCTATTATGTAAGGTATTGTGTGTCTGTGTCATATACAGACACAAAGGAGGTCATATCAGAGGTAGATATGAATGAATAATTACAGAAGAATATTATATCTAATAACAATAAGTAGTCTTCTTGTATAGCGCTCATGCCTGTCAAACTTGACACTCCTGGCTGGCATTCCAAAATTATTACAAAATTATTAATTCCTACCAGGTACCAATTTACTTCATCTGGGTCGAGTGTGGCAGAGGTGGATAAATGTCTTGCCAAAGGACATTAGTGCTGCAGCGGGACCGCAAACCATGTGATCCACAGTCCCAAAAAAATTATGAAAATTCTAAAATCTGACATAATGACATTATGATGTGCATACAAGTTCAGCTAGAGCCTCATAAAAAGATCATTATTCCCATATGTTGTATGTAACAGTATCATCTGAAAACGGGGAAAACATTTTCATGTAGATTTGGGTTTTGAAACCCTATCAAAATTTTGAAGTTTGCTTTGAATGGATAAAGTAAAGCAGCAGAATAATCATCTTCTTTGGATTACATAGGCCTCACTGTGAATGACATCTACAACAAGAAGCTCAGTCAAGGTGATTTGCAGCTATTGATCCTAAATGTAAATGTTATTAAATTCAAGGATATTTCTAATGTTTGATCCTCAATGTAAAAGTTTTGTCAAGGAGATCTATGTGTAACATTTGATCCCTGATGTTAGGCTTGATAGTCTGATCAAATGTGAAGGTTCCTCAGAACATACTGCCAATTTACAGTTCTTTGTCATCACCACAGAGGGAAACTTGATGCCCCTCAATATCAATGTTTAATTGGATAACAGCCATGGACACATCTTGTAGTTTGAATAAAGGGTGCTCAAAGACAAGATAAAGATATCTCAATTCAAATGTAGAATAATACCTACTGAGTTTGCAATAAGTATTCAAACATACTATTTTGTCTCTAAAACCCTGTCTTAACTGGAAAATAAAGTTGCGGGGACATTTACACTCTTCCAGTTAAGACGCGTCAATCCGGACAATATCGAAGTAAATCTCACCCTAGTCGGGCCAGGGTGAGATCAAGGTAACATCCTGATAAACGGCCTATTAAGACGCGCGCGGAACTCTACCCTGGTAAATGACGTCATTGTCGTGAAAAAATGTATACATGTACACAGCGCGTGCCAGCTGATCGCGATGGGGGAGGTGCGGTTGTTATGGTAACCTACCCGGATGAGGTTTTTGCAGATGGCTGATTAAGACGGTGTCCAAAAGCTCACCCCGTGTTTTACGATCAGACCATCCACTGTATCTCATCCACATGTCGCTCGGGTGAGATCAAAAAAGTTCTATTAAGCCGGGGCTTGAGGTTCTCCCTGAGCATGCTTCCCCAAAGACACACATCCAGGGTTTGAGCTGAATAAAATCATCCTCGTTCACAAGATTTTTAGTACAAAATAGAATGAATTGATGGTTCAAAAGAATCCTGGGTACTCATTGTCAATAGATCAAATGCAGTTTGATTGGTCTCTTTGAATTAGGTGTTAAGATGCAAACGTTTGCAACAATCGCTCTGCAGTCAATTTCCCACACTGATCAATCCCTAACTTAAACCTTGGACTAAAAACAATATCTAACCGTAACCCTGAACCTCACCCGAAACCAAATTGCAATCCTTACCTAAACCAGACATCTTTGATGGCCTAAAGCCTGGAGCATATTGTCTCTAGCGCAAATGTCATGAATTGACTAGGGTCTACTCCAATTTGGTATTTATGTTTGGTCTTCATGGGGCATTCCCTTCAGGGTGGACTTGTAAAAACAGTGAGACATTAGACAGCTCTGGGCAAGAGATGGGCGTTTGTCTGTTGCCCTGGAAACTGTTTTGAGGAAGGGTAAATGGAGTGTTTGCTTTGAAACTGCGGAAGGCAGACAACACCCTCTATGGAACTGTCACTGAGATGTCTGGTACATGGCGTCATGAGAGAGGGAGGGGAAGGGGTTGATGGAATACACTTTGAAGACTATGTTAACAGTCTGGCATGTTGTTGCTGTACAATGCCGTCCGTCCGTTATGACTGGAGCTCAGCTCAAGTCTTCAGCAATTCTGAGTTATTTTGGGGAAAATTAGAAGGCTGACAAAAATACAGCAAAAATACCAACATGAGGCGAATGTAGCTCTATCTTGTGATTGATAAGAAATGGTAATCCTTTAATCCATACAAAACTGAAGAGATTTTGTGATCTAAAGTCAGATAATTTATCCATGTCAAATAAAGAAAGATTGTTTCAAAACAAAATATGCACAACATAAAAGAAACATGTTATGACACTGCCTTCCTTTTAATGACAAAATGACTTACCGATAATCTGAAATAGACCGCTTAGATCCTTGCTTTGCCATAACTGATGAGAGATAATGAGTTCCTAATTCAATTCACTCAAAAGAAATGTCTCATCTCCAAAACAAGTACTGGCAAAAACGCATTTGAAAGAAACACTGATTTTCTGATGTCTTTTGAGCAAGATGACAAACAAGAGACTTTCACTACCCAGATAATGATAGTCATTGCTTTCAGTAAAGAGAGCTTTCAATGGAAAGATTAGCAAGCTAAAACACCATTTATGCTATAATACTTGTTGGCAATCTACATTGCTCTTCTTCATGTGCCTACATCGCACTAAA